TCCTATCTCTCGTTATTATTTCTAATAATATTTATATATATATTTATATATAACACATCGTTTACTCGATAGTAAGTCTGAGCCATGGCCGGTTCGTGAGTTGTCCCTTGAGTGTACGTTCGTAGTTTACGTTTCTCTCTTTTGGTTCGTGGGTCTTAGCAAGACGATGGACAAGTCTCCCTCCTTATCGACTGAGAAATGAAACGCCCCTTTCCAAAATACACTGCGCGAAAAAAAGGCCACAGCTCTCGCTATCCCTCTCTACCCTCTCTACCCTCTCACTCTCTCTCTCTCTCTCTCTCTCACCCTCTCTCTCTCTCTCTCCACTCAACGATGAATTAGCGTATCATAGAACGATACGAACTACCCCTTTCGCTCGTTCCACGCCCCCTTTACATTGCTACCGTCACGCTTTCTTCAATTCCTTTTTGTTCCTTTTCTCTTTCCTCTTTTTTTTCGTTTGCTAAATACTTTTTCGCTTATTTCCTCTGTAAAAATGTCGGACTTCGCCCTCCCACGCGGCACGGCGAGCTCCTGTCACGGTAAGAAAGGAAGATTCATGCTCGGTTTCGATACAGGCTGGGGCCGCGCGACGAATATCTCCAAGACGGAACGAGAACTCGAGTACTCGAATACCCATCGAATGAAATTCAAAGAGTGGTTGGTACGTCGTTTGGTAGAACGGAGTTTACATGCTCACCGGAAGAACAAATAATATCGCGCTCACGGAGTTCACGGATGATGTTCTATGGCAGACTGCGGTCTCGTGCGTTCGCAGCGTACCATATGATTGTCTAATACTCAGCGATGCGTAACGTGATCAATGAAAATCGTCTGTTTCCCTACTCTCCCGCGGACCGAGCGAAGTCATTTGTAATTTTGTACGAGTCGTGTCGCAACTGTCCGTTTGTTGTTTCGGTAATGTGGAGAAATAAAGTATTCGTACATTCAACTTGTAAGTAATTGGTTAAAGCGGATTATCGTACAGTGTACAGTTGGTCTGGCACGAACGCGACATTCGAAATGTTACAATATATTCGAGGGATATTCGAAGCGGCTGAAATACAATAGAAAACATCAGAAGAACCCCAGTCACACTTTCGCGCGTCCACCGGTTACACGGCACGAATTAGAAAGCGTCCAATGATCAATCGCAGAATCCGATAAAGCTCTGCGCCTCCGTACCGTTCGAGAATCTCAAGTTTAGTTTCGTACTCCAATTTCTTCCACCTACCCCGTATCTCTCACTCTCTTTCTCTCTGTTTCTCTCTCACACGCACATACTCTCTCTCTCTCTCTTCCTTTCTCCGGTACCTCTTTCGTTAAGTAATGAAAAACGTAACAGTCAAGAAAATATAAGTAATGAAAATTCGAAGCAACAACTCGATCCTTAAACAACTACCTAAAAATACAAACGGAGTCGCTCAATGTCGAAGGCACACAACCCTTTCAAATCGAATGAACTGAAAGAAAGCACGATGGGAGGCGTCATCGGTACACGTACACGTCTAAAATTTTTGGGCAGTGGACTCCTTATATTTTTTTTTTCCCCTTTGATGCTCGAGAGATTAAGTACAAGAAAATTTCCTCTTCTTGCCTTTCCTTTTTTTTCCACGTGTATTCGTCTCGAAAGACTAAAA